CAGCTGAACCATGATTCCCTGTGCAGAATTCAGCCAGTCACTGTCCCAGTCCTGCAGTACTAGATAGAATCTTCTTTCCAGACTGTTAAGAGACAATGTCTTCTAATTCTGTGATTTTTTTGGTTTTTTTTTTGTTTCTTTGTAAAGAATAACTTTCAGCGTTCCTGGCTGTACCTTTTATTCATCAAACAACTTGCCTTAGCCTACTGTTTACTCAGCTTCTGCATTTATTTTCCTGCAGACTGAGAACTCACACTCCAATTCAGAACGCACCTTAGGGGTGTGTTCAGCATTGCATCCTCAATAGATTAAAGATGGTATAATGGTTGGGTTAGTTGAATTTTAGAGATCGGAATACTTAAGTTCAAATCTTAATGCAGATTTCCTCTCTGACCTTGAATAAATCACACATAATCTCAGGCTCCATTTCCTTGCCTTCAAGATGGAGGTGAGTAGTGCTTTCCGCTTGACAAGCTAGAACTGTGAAGATTGTGTGGTATTTCTGTAATGAAACCCATGAGTATATATATATTCACACCTATTCACAGCCTAATGAACAGGGAGATGCAGATGGAGTCTGCTTTCTCTGTCTGTCAGCTCTGCAAATATAGGTTTAGAAGCAACATAATAGATTTGTCTTTGTAAACACCCTCCCAAGTATCTCAGAATATATTCACTCTCTTTCACACTGTGACAGGCAAAGATAAAATCTTAGTGCTCCTTTTGCAGACAAGGCAAGTTTTCATATATTTTATGAAAGAAGCATTTGTCAAATCTGGCCTAAAAATTGAATTATTAAGCAAATGCATGACAAGTAAGGGGGAGAGGTCCAGCAAATGAGCCTTGAGGAGCTGAAGTTCACATTTGGTAATATAAGGTAAATGCTTGAGTGGTTTCATTTTATCCTACTTCTACAAACAGGGATTTATTGTTCTTTCCTTGCTTCTCCTTGTCAATGACAAATAAAGAGTTGAAAGATTAAAATGTATCTTAAGGGTCTCAATTCAGTAGAAAATTATACTTCAAGGCAATGGAAGACCACTAAATTATTTTCAGTCAGATATGGTTTTTTATTCTACTGTTATTCAGTATTGCATGCTCAGAAATTGTATGTTTGGGATGGGGCAAAACAGTCCTAAAATGAAAACTAATAATTTAAAGGAAAAAGAAAAGGTTTTCTAGAAGTTGAAAGGATGTCCTTTTCTGATTTGGATTTTTTCATTAGCATGGTCAAATTTCATAATCCATACTGTCTTGACAGCATGTTCTTTAGGTTCTCAGAAATTGATGTGGTTTACCAACACCATTTTTTATCAGTACATCCCACCTTCACAAAATGCATTTGTCTGAGTACAGGTTGAAATGGGCACTAGCTGTAAAATACTGATTTTTCTCTCCTCTCAGAGCAACTTGGCTCTATAATCTGGCATGCTGGATATTCCCTAGCCCTATGACAGGAAGAATTTTGGGGGTGCTGCAAATCTTCTGTTTATTGAACTTAGGGATTTATAAGACTACATTTTCTTCCTTTACAGTTATTGTAAAAGCTTATAAAGTTAAGAAGACATGAAAAGCATCAATGGTCTCCAGTGTTCCACAGGCGCATTAGTATTCAGTACAGTTCATCATCCCCCAAAATGTTCAAGTAACATGTTAGGTGTTTCTCAAAAGGAAATACATTATTTTATTCTATCATTTTCATGTGTTGCTGGGTATGCAATGAGGAGGAGTGCTTTCTGAATTACTGAACTGAATCACAAAAAATTTCACTGCTTCTCTCAAAATATGATTAAAATGACATGGAGTTTCTTTTCCAGGTTGATCCTTCCAATGAATAATGATCTTTTTAAATCTGCTTGGATTTTGGCTGCCTTATAATATACAGAGGAGATAGTTATCAAGAAGTGTGAGGGAAGTATTTGGATCTTTGATAGTGGTATTAAAAGCCTTTGTTAGTCATAAGAACAATTTTATCGTTGATATCAAAAGCCAAAATCTTTTTGCCTTATTTGCATGAGCAGTCCATTTTTGAAGCTAGCATGAATATTGTTATGAAAATGCAAGCACAGTCTTGCCTACAGGTCAAGCAAGTGAAAAAATAATACCTCAGTAGACATGATATATATAAAATGTCCTACTTTAGAAAATTTTGCTATGTAGAAATGTTAATCTTCCACACCATTACTGCAGCAATTATACTACAGTATGACCAGCAGAAAAAGGCCACAGTGGAGGTCACCAATTTTGAGTCAGAGGTAATTAGCATCTGCAACTGTGCCAAAAAACAGTCCAAGGTAGGTTCAGTCTCAAGAGACAGGATAATCTGCAGGGTTTCTTTTTCTTTCTGTCAATTCGAGCATTTCTGTTTGCGTCTATATGTTGCTGCATGATTCAATCTTATTCTATATATACATGTCTCCGTACACAGGTTTCAAAATGAAACATCTTAAATTCATGGAGAAAAATTCCTGGTGCTTCTTCTTTGTCTAGAATTTACAAAAATTTCACCATGTTACCCACAAATATGCAGCAAATTCCTGTTCTGAAAGAAGACAATAAAAAATTGAATTTATTTCAGAAGAAGACCTAGTTTACAAAATTGTTTATTAGTTCTGAAAATTATTGGATGTCTTTCTAGCTTCCAGTTTCTGTTCTCAATTCTACTAAGCCTAATTTATATGATCTTATTATTTTAAGAAAATCCATAATATCAAACTGATGTACGTGATACGTGATGTATAAGACACAAACTCATCTGGTTGGTATCTTCAACTATAATTTGTATTAATCTATGGAGAACATGAGTTTATCTAATTATCTAGGACTTCCTGAAATCTGAATCAGTTTTACCCAAGGATAGGCAGGTGTTAGATGCTAGCAGCCTAGTTGCTCTACTTGCTTACACAGGCAGTCTGTAAAATTTGCCATTTTCAGTTAATTTTTCATGCAGTGATGTCTGAATACATTCACTGTTCAAAGCTGTCTTTCAGAAAAAAAAAAAAAAAGATAAAGCTAATTCTAAATCTATAGCTAGACTGCAAACTGGACTTCTTTTATTGTCACCCAAAAAATATTTGCATAACTCTTTGCAAGAAGACTTAGCAGAAGTTTTAGGGTATGTCCAATTCTTCCAGTTCCCAGAACAAGCATGGAGAATGCATACTATTTATTTCAGTGCTCTTTAAAAAATAAAACTACCACAACTACCACAAGAAAATGACAGGGGTGATCCTAATGAGTTGTGAGGATATTCTGGAAGGTCCTCATAGATTACTAGAAGCTCAAAATGAAAGGAAATGTAATCTTCTGAGCATTTTTGTCTTATTCTGCACCACTAGGGTTGCTGTCTTCTACAGTAATAAGAAAACTTGCCTACAAATCCATAATTTTTTACAGTAAGAGGTTTTTTTCTACTTCTTTTAAAAAGCCAGGCTTTTCTACTGCCCTGGATAAACGTATGGCTTGGTCTTTGGGGCATGAACCTGGAGCTGTGATTTATTTGTGATGAGTGCTTTTCTTAAACTGCAGGACTTAACATTTTTTTTTTTTTGCTTTCTGGCATCATCACCCCTTTACTGTTTTTTTTTCATATACTTTAGTGCATGAAGTCAGTGGAAAACAAGGAAATGTTGGAAATGTTACCGATGTTGTCAGTCTCTCTTTGGAGAACTATATAAGCATAGCTTTTAAATTTAATAGACTATTTCTGCTGAATGTCATATTGCCTGACTTTCTCCAGATAAGTCTACCCAAGTATGGCAGATTTAGACAAATATTCTTCTCATCTGGACCAAGTGACTGAGAATGATGCAAGTGGGCACTGATTGATCTAAAACCCCCAGACACATTACCTGTGCAAATGAAAGTGATATACAAGTGCAGATATCTAGCAGCACCTGTTCAAATGCAAACATCCTATGCCAGACTACAAATCAGAAAAGGCAGATCTCATTTTAAGATTTGTGCAAGGTAAACTGATATATGACCTGAGACATACATTGTGCTTTATAATATGTACTGATCTGTCGTAGAGTTGATGAAGGGTTTTGCATTGAATGGGAACCGCCTTACAATGACTGATTGTATTCTTTCATCTCAAAATGTTTGATTACCTTTCAAGGGCTCATCTTTGACATCATTCCCATACATGCAGAGCAGACATATTTGACTACCACGTCTCCAGTAGCAGTCCTGAGGAGGAAAACAATGAATAGTTCACAACTATAAAAGCCAGAGGGGAATTTTATTTGCTTTCCTATTCGTTGCAAAATGATTGTGGAACCTTGCCATTTGAAGCATTCTTATACAGTGCTTAATTTTAATGTTCCTAGACTAAATATCTCTGCCAAACTAGTACAAGATGGCTTCTTTTGGGGGTAAGTTTCTTCCAGAAAAAAAATAATTGCTTAAGACTGTGGAGCACAGAGTGCACGTGAATCAAGCAACTGTGTTGCCTGAGAGTAAAGCCTGGTATTACTCTTTATGGGAACATCTAAACTAGACAAATCTGCTATCTCAACCCGTGATGTAACTCATAGCATAGAAGATATGATTTTTCAGTCAAGGTAAATATCTTCAGCTTGCATGGAAAAGGAGATATATCTCCTTTTTATTTATATATTTAACCTTTATATATGTTCAATATATAGCATGTGTATAGCTGCAGTGAAGACTTGTGTGCTTGCGTGTTCTTTCACCTTCTTTTTCATGCACTTAAGTGAAAGTCTGCAGGAGATCATCCAAAAGCTGTATGACCTTCAGACATACCCTTAAAGAGATACAGTGGTAAAATAGACTGTAATTATGTCCACAAACAAGTAGGCATAAAAAGAAACCATGCAGCAAAATAATCATCATAGCTGTAAATAAAGCCAAAAGGGATTCTCAAATAAAATATATATGTAATATATATATACATATATATGTAAAATACATTAAAGTCTATATTTGAGATTTTTGATCTCTTTTTATAAAAGTCTACCTTCTTTTTTCTCTTTCAGTCACCAAAATATCACTAATGTCCTGGGGGTCACTGTCTCTTCATACAATGAGGGTATCAACCAATTCCTCTGCAACGTTAGAGTTGAAGAATTTGCCTTATTCTCATCATTTCCAACTGTCAGGTATGTGTAAGTTTTGAAAGCCTTGTGTCTTGATAACTGTAGCCAAAAATGCACAAAACCTCTGTGAATGTTCTTATATCCCATCTTAGAGATTCACTGAAAACCACTGTGGATTAAGTCCTTTGTGCATTTAGACACTGTGCTGTTGAATTCTGACCACAGGCCAGTGCAAATACTGGCTGTTTCTTTGGAGTTGGCTTAGGTCCTTAACATTACTTTCCATTTCTAGCAAGAAAGGGCTGGATTGCCTGAAAGTTGTGGAATCTTGCCAATTGCAGGCTAATGAATGTTGCAGCTATGCTCTGTAATTAAGAAACAGAAGATTGCAATTCTATTTTCTAAAAATTCTGCCAAGGTTATTTTCCTATTATTATAACAGAAGAAAGGAATGGGTTGGCAAGCTTTCTTGAAAATGTATTCACACTTTGTTTTTAAATAATGTAAATTTCTAATAGGTTTTATTCAATAGAAAAATAACCATCAAAAGATGCTAGTATAGGCTGGAACTAAATAAATTGTCATGTTAGCAGAAAGGAAAAAGCATAACCTTTTAATCTTGCAGTAATTGTGATTTCTATACAGTAACACTTTTTGTGCAACTTCCACAAAAAACGAAACTCCATGAAAAGGAACAAAAAAGTACAAAAAAGACAGGGATCTCTTGGAAAGATGGTGAGGGGCCTGGAGCATCTCTCCTATGAGGAAAGGCTGAGTGAACTGGGTCTGTTCAGCCTTGAGAAAAGAAGGCTGAGAGGGGACCTGATCCAGGTCTATAAATATCTAAGGTGTGGGGGGCAGAATGGCGAGGCCGGACTCTTTTCAGTGGTGAGTGGAGACAGGACAAGGGGAAACGGCTGGAAACTGCAGCATAGGAAGTTCTGCACAAACATGCGCAAGAACTTCTTTACAGTGAGGTGACGGAGCACTGGAACAGGCTGCCCAGGGAGGTGGTGGAGTCTCCTTCTCTGGAGATGTTCAGGACCTGCCTGGGTGCCTACCTGTGCGACCTGCTGTAGGGAACCTGTTTTGGCAGGGGGGTTGGACTCGATGATCTCTGGAGGTCCCTTCCAACCCCTACAATTCTGTGATTCTGTGATCCTGTGAACAAACAGATATCCCGAACTTACTGACCTGATTGGTCAGTTTCACCTTTTGCAGTGTTGCCATGTTTTATCTATTGCCTTGTCAAAAAGCCCTGTGTTCTGTGTGTGACAAAGACTGTGTATATTAATAACTTAATTATACCTCTTCCGACCAAGATTATTTTAATTACTGCAATCACAGTGGTATAGCACCTGCAATTCAAAGTAATCAACTGTTCTTGAATTACAAAAATAAGTGTTCATATGAAATATTAAATAGGGTGAAACCTTTGGTACCTTTGGTAGTGGTCTGTCAAGAAGTCAGCTGTGAGATGACCTACTGTATGCAGGCCTTTCTGCATTTCTTGAAGGAAATTATTTGGAAGGAATCATCATTAAGCAGCACTGTGTGACGTTACGTCGAGATTTCAATAGACTATGTACATTTGTGTGTTAACTGAATATGTTCTACGTAGCTCTAGCCTTGCCAGAAGGACCAAAAAGCAAATGAATGTGGAATGAATTTATAAGTTGAATGGCAACATAAGCTTGAATTTTAGCAATTTTCCATCCTATAATAAATCCAAGAATGAAAATGAAAAATCATTCTTCATGGGAGAAATGCCAAAATAATTAGATTAACAGTATCTGTAGAAAAGCTAGGCATCTCCTGCCTCAAAGACATTTCAGAACATATGCCTGTCAGCTCACTGACGAACTTGGTGCTGAGAGATCTGGCTGTTTATAAGAAGCTGCATGAACCTCTGTGACTCTTGATGCACCAGAAGAATGCTGAAAAAGACTAAGCAAGCCTAAAAATGAAGTATGGCTCCCTGACTGACTTAAATGAACTCTAAGTACCTAGGTAATTGCTGAAGAATTTAAAGAATGTTTAAAATTGATTACTTGATATATCTTAAGGGTTTTCCCACCTGGGTGGTATAAAATAGAGTTTTCTAGAAGAATGGAAATTAGTATTGATTGGAATTATCTGTCTCCATAAAGGAGCGATTTCTATGGAGAAATCAGAATACCAAATGCGAACGGAACCCTGGCCTTTATAATAGTTAAGTTTTAAAAGTGTCCAAATATATTACTGAGGAATTTCTCAGCTTAAATATCTTCCTTTGTGACAGGAACTGGAACAGCAAGGCAGCTGTCAGCCTGAAAAGCAATCAGTTTCCTACAACATATGCTTCATGACACATAGAAAGTGGTACAGAAAATAAACATCATGTAGATCTTCCAAACTGAGAGAACATGCAACACAGAAGTACATACTGGTTAAGTAGATTTGTCTAAACTGTTAGTGAAGCTAAAGTTTTTCATGAAGCTCCATTTCAGGCTCCTTACTCAAAATACTTTGAAGACTGCTACTGAAAACTGCTTTTGGAGACTGCTTCTAAACAAAGAATAATGTTCAATATTAGAAAATAACTGTTTTGACAATTTTTATACAAGATGTTTCAAGTTTTCATTTTGCTGTGACATTTGGGAAAAAGAACCCACAAAATTTAACTGAAATCAGTGTTTAAGGGGCCAGAGACTTTGGAAAAAAATATTTCATTTTGACAGAATGAAATGTTTTGTCAACTTTAAATGTGTTTTGTTTCTCACATTTGTATTTCAGTAGGAAACAAAAATAACATCTTTGTATGGGCATATTCAAAACAGATTTTCTCTGTTCAGTAACTGCACAAAATCAGAAACCCCAAATTAAAGATGTTTATACAGACTGCTGCTGAGAGCTATGCAGTGTGAACAGAGTTTAAACTAAAATTTCCTCCTAGTATAGATGATACCAAGCCCCATTAGACTATGATTATAAGTAAATTCAAAGTAAAACTATTTTACTATTAAATGTTAATCTTTGTTTCAGTGTAATCATGATAACCATCTTAATTTGTAAAGAAAATTGACATAAATAAATAAAAAGTAAAACTTATTTCTAGCTGGATTATAAACATCTGTGAGCCATAGTAAAAGAATCTCTAATTCTTCAAAAGAAGGCTTCTACTTTTCTGTTTATTTACTGCTGGTGCCAACTGCACATTAGGAAAAAGTTGATTTCCCTCATTTTTATAAACTCCTTTAAAGTATTGGAAGGTCTCAATGAGGTTGAGCCTTCTCTTCTGCAGGCTGAACATGCCCCATCTCAACTTTGCTTTCAGAAAAGGTCTTTTTATTTTTGCAAGTAAAATGCATGTTCTTATGCCACTGGTTGGTTTCCAAGGAACCACTTCTGCCTAAACTCTTTAAGAAGTTCTTGTCTAGAAATTAAATCAGAACCAATGTAACAGCCTTTTCAATGGTCTGGAATTAACACCAATAGCAGGTCAGTGCATCAGTGTAATTTTACAGTAGGATCAAAGCTAGTAAGTGAATTCTGCAGTACTTTCCATTTCTTGTAAACAGTATGTATTATCTCGGAGTGCATACAGACAGCAGTAATGCACAGGTGAAGTACAGGGAGAAATTGCTTTTTCTGAAATGTGGCATGCTAGTGAACTGAAACATTGGATACAAAGGGCTTTCCAGAGGTGGCATTGCCTCAGCTGTGGCAGCCATTAGCAGAGTAACTTGGAGAACAATGTGCTTTTCACTGCATATAGAAATCATCCTATTACAGAAATCTGCAGCCTGCTTCTGCTCTCTCAAGCACAAAACTCAATAGCACAATTTAAACTTTTGGTTGTTATGTATTAATCAGCTGCTTAAAAAATTGTTTTTGTGTTGTGACCTCTATTTTATAAAAGCAGATGAGAAATGTGTGGAGTGTTCAGTCCATATTCAATCTGCTATAAATCTAAATATTATCAGAACTTCATAGATTATCAGTCCACATTTTCTGCCTCTGGGTTAAAGGAAACAGTAGAAACTGTTTCTTCTAAATTGGAAGAACACGCAGAAGTTTTGATGAATGGTATAAATACATAAATAGTGTATCTAAATATGCCCATGAACATTTACAGTCTGTTGGACAATTTATTTGTGGGTTAATTTCACATAGCTGTATGTGAAAACACGTCCTAGAGATGAACTCTCCTTTTATTTGTACTTAAGGATTTTGGAAAAAAATTGTATTTAACAAGAAGGGGTTTAAGACAACAGGTGTTGTGTTGCTAGCACAGTGTGCTGTGGGCATTGCATTGCTTTTAGACTTGTCAGTCTACCTTCAGTTTTCAGTACTCTGGGTTTGGGTGTTGATAGATTTTATTTATTTATTTATTTATTTATTTATTTTTAAAAAGCATAACAATAGATGCTGTGTTTCTAGTTTATAATTTTCTGCTCTCCCTTTCATTTGAGCATGTTGCACTTGACTGATTGCTCATCAGTTTCCATAAGGGACCCAATAGTACGTGCTCAGCAAGCCTTGGTCAAATATTGGTATCCAAGGGCCAAGTAAGAGCTCTTGATACAGCTTCTCCTGTCTTTTACTGCATGATCAAAAAAGAATCTCTTAAGCTTTCTGCCTCCAATTTCTAACTGTAAAATGGGAAAAAAATGAAGTTTACACCGTGAAAAACGCACCAGAGTACTAAGATTAAAGTATTCTGTTCAGAATATTCTGGCCCTGTTGACTTCAGCATGAGTTATATAGTCACTATGGTAGCTATACAGAAATAACCATGGTATTGATGTGATATGTGAAATAGTGATACTTAAAAGGGTAAATTTTGACAGAATTGTAATGAAAAAGGATATCTAAGAAAAATCTTCAACTTTCCTACGGTATAGTAAAGTAAACTCAAATATTAATTAATAAATGTAGTATTAGTAGAAGCAGCTTCTGAGTAAGTATCTCTAATATACTAACTTTCAAATTACAGATTGTTTACTTAGCATATTTCATTGCCAGTAAAACTTTCCTTTAAATAGAAGTTTGTAAAGCAAATTATCCAACTGTGAAATTGG